CTTGATAAATAAATATTTGCTACTTGACAATTTAAAACAGACTTTCCAAGTACTTAAATATTATTTAATAGATGAAAATGGGAGAATTTTTAATCCCGATCCATGCAGTAACATCATTTTTAATCCATTCAATTTGAATTGGTATTTTCTCCATCACGATTATTGTGAAGAATCATCCACAATAATTAGCCTGGGACAGTTTCTTTGTGAAAATGTATGTATATCCAAAAATGGACCACACCTAAAATCTGGTCAAGTTCTAATTGTTCATGTTGACTCTTTAGTAATAAGATCAGCTAAGCCCTATTTGGCCACTCCAGGAGCAACCGTTCATGGCCATTATGGAGAAATCCTTTACGAGGGAGATACATTAGTTACATTTATATATGAAAAATCGAGATCTGGTGATATAACGCAGGGTCTTCCAAAAGTAGAACAAGTGTTAGAAGTGCGTTCAATTGATTCAATATCAATGAACCTAGAAAAGAGGGTTGAAGACTGGAACGAACGTATAGCAAGAATTCTTGGAATTCCTTGGGGATTCTTGATTGGCGCTGAGCTAACCATAGCGCAAAGTCGTATTTCTTTGGTTAATAAAATCCAAAAGGTTTATCGATCCCAGGGAGTGCAGATCCATAATAGGCATATAGAAATTATTGTACGTCAAATAACATCAAAAGTTGTGGTTTCAGAAGATGGAATGTCTAATGTTTTTTTGCCTGGGGAACTAATTGGATTGTTGCGAGCGGAGCGAACGGGGCGGGCTTTGGAAGAAGCGATCTGTTACCGAGCCGTCTTATTGGGAATAACGAGGGCCTCTCTGAATACTCAAAGTTTCATATCCGAGGCGAGTTTTCAAGAAACTGCTCGAGTTTTAGCAAAAGCCGCTCTACGAGGTCGTATCGATTGGTTGAAAGGCCTGAAAGAGAACGTTGTTCTAGGGGGGATAATACCCGTTGGTACTGGATTCAAAGGATTGGTGCATCGTTCAAGGCAACACAACAACATTCCTTTGGAAATAAAAAAGAAAAATTTATTTGAAGGGGAAATGAGAGATATTTTGTTCCACCACAAAGAATTATTTCATTTTTGCATCCCAAAGAATTTTCATGATACATCAGAACAATCATTTACGGGATTTAATGATTCCTAAAAGCGGATTCATCCTTTTAACTTAACTTTAACTATCTTATCTGGTTCGGTCATTTGATTTGGTAATGGTAATAAAGATAATAACGAATAGAAAGGAATTAATGGCTTGGGCCGTGTATCAACGGTCAATCTACGGTAGAAGGTTCCGTCGGAACAATTATTTATTTCAAGGTACCTCGTCTCTTTTTTTTTTTTAAAAAAAAAAAAGAGGAAGTGTGGGGAGAAATGACAAGAAGATATTGGAACATAAATTTGGAAGAGATGATGGAAGCAGGAGTGCATTTTGGTCATGGTACTAGGAAATGGAATCCTAGAATGGCACCTTACATCTCTGCAAAGCGTAAAGGTATTCATATTACAAATCTTACTAGAACTGCTCGTTTTTTATCAGAAGCTTGTGATTTAGTTTTTGATGCAGCAAGTAGGGGAAAACAATTCTTAATAGTTGGTACCAAAAATAAAGCAGCCGATTTAGTAGCATCGGCTGCAATAAGGGCTCGGTGTCATTATGTTAATAAAAAATGGCTTGGTGGTATGTCAACGAATTGGTCCACTACAGAAACAAGACTTCAAAAGTTCAGGGACTTGAGAGCGGAACAAAAGGCGGGGAGACTCAACCGTCTTCCGAAAAGAGATGCAGCAATGTTGAAGAGACAATTATTTAACTTGCAAACATATTTGGGTGGGATCAAATATATGACGGGGTTACCTGATATTGTAATCATTGTTGATCAGCAAGAAGAATATACAGCTCTTCGAGAATGCGTCACTTTGGGAATTCCAACGATTTGTTTAATCGATACAAATTGTGACCCGGATCTCGCAGATATTTCAATTCCAGCGAATGATGACGCTATAGCTTCAATCCGATTAATTCTTAACAAATTAATCTCTGCAATTTGTGAGGGTCGTTCTAGCTATATAAGAAATCGTTGATTAATAATAATAATAAGATAAATCAATTACTTTGGGAATTCCATAGATTTATTGAATCGGTTCTTTTTCCTGGATCTCAAAAAAGAGATAAAAATCACTGGGGATATTATGTGATTACTTGGTTTCCGAAATCTACGATTCAAGCAAGCGAGTCGAGAAAGAGATAGTTGAATCAAAATAATTCCTTTTTAAGTTCTATTTCTGTCAGAGGGCAATATGAATGTTCTACCATGTTCCATCAACACCCTAAAAGGGTTATACGATATATCCGGTGTGGAAGTTGGCCAACATTTCTATTGGCAAATAGGAGGTTTCCAAGTCCATGCCCAAGTACTTATTACTTCTTGGGTCGTAATTGCTATCTTATTAGGTTCAGCCACTATAGCTGTTCGCAATCCACAAACCATTCCGACTGCTGGTCAGAATTTCTTCGAATATGTCCTTGAATTCATTCGAGACTTGAGCAAAACTCAGATTGGAGAAGAATATGGTCCTTGGGTTCCTTTTATTGGAACTATGTTCCTATTTATTTTTGTTTCGAACTGGTCAGGGGCTCTTTTACCTTGGAAAATCATAGAGTTACCTCATGGGGAGTTAGCCGCACCTACGAATGATATAAATACTACTGTTGCTTTAGCTTTACCCACGTCAGTGGCATATTTCTATGCGGGTCTTAGCAAAAAAGGATTGGGTTATTTCGCTAAATACATTCAACCAACTCCAATCCTTTTACCAATTAACATCCTAGAAGATTTCACAAAACCTTTATCACTTAGTTTTCGACTTTTCGGGAATATATTGGCTGATGAATTAGTAGTTGTTGTTCTTGTTTCTTTAGTACCTTCAGTGGTTCCGATACCTGTTATGTTCCTTGGATTATTTACAAGTGGTATTCAAGCTCTTATTTTTGCAACTTTAGCCGCGGCTTATATAGGAGAATCCATGGAGGGCCATCATTGACTAGCTTTCAAAATAGTCTTTTTTTTCAGCGTATCCCAACGCAATGTATGTGTGGCTTAAGATAATCTATTTTGGTAACATAATAGATACAAATAACATAATAGATACAAATAAATAGATACAAATAAAAATACAATATATACGATCTAGAGTACAATATATACGATCTATAGTAGTAACAAAAAGAATTACGATATTAGTGAATTGTAAAAAAAAAAAAAGGAAAGAGATCTAAAAGATCTTTTTCCAAAGATTCCCGTTTGGCCCATTTATGTCATACCTCCTCCAATGAATATTCTAGTTCTATTTGTTCAGTTAATTACAAAATTACGATTCATAAATTGAATAAGAATTCTTATGTTATCTGTTTCCGACGTACGTTTAAACAAAAAAAGATGTTCTATAGAACGATTCCCATTTCGTTTGATTTCATTCAATTTAATGATTGATTCAAATTCTAATGAATTGCATTGCATGCAATTCGATCAATCAAATTCTGATATTGATATGTAATGATTCGGACTAATAAATTTGTTCATTTGTATCCATGCGGGATAATGATAAAGAATAAAGAAAAGTAAGAGAATAGTTTTCAAACGAGATTCATAAAAAAATAGGTTAGGAAGGTCAAATTAGGTATATGTAATGTAATGGTTATAAGCCAACTCTTGTGGGTGTTTTGAAGAATTATTTTAGAATCCGATTGAATATAAGATACGAATGCTTAGTTTACGTTATGGAAGAAACACGTGTATATGTGATATTAGATATTGACTAGTTATATATTTTATTTTTTCCCATCCCACTGTACTGTGAGGTTAGATGGGGATTTCAATAGAAGTCCTTCTGTTTCGTCTGTGACTGCGGATTGAATGAATAAACAGATGAAATCAAGCATAAATAAGTATACAGAACAGAAAAGAAGAGCGAAAAAGAATGGTTCGGTTCGGAACAAAGAAATGGAAGAACTAGAGCCGTATGGATTGACAAAGACCCCATGGATAGGAACTAAAAACGAGATATCAAAAAAGTTCTGATAATTCAATAATATCATTACTAAAATTCGGAGTTCTTAGTTACTTTGACTAGATGATGAATCTTAGTGATGGAATAATAAGTCATAATTCATTGGTTGATTGTATCATTAACCATTTCTTAATTTTGGTGCGAGGGGCTTACCATGAATCCACTGATTTCTGCTGCTTCCGTTATTGCTGCTGGATTGGCCGTAGGGCTTGCTTCTATTGGACCTGGAGTTGGTCAAGGTACTGCTGCGGGCCAGGCCGTAGAAGGGATCGCGAGACAACCAGAGGCAGAGGGTAAAATACGAGGTACTTTATTGCTTAGTCTGGCTTTTATGGAAGCTTTAACAATTTATGGACTGGTTGTGGCATTAGCACTTTTATTTGCGAATCCCTTTGTTTAATCCTAGAAATGTGATTAAAAACGTATTTTTTATTTTTTCTTATTGCTTTGCTTGGACTTGCCTCTTGCTTTTTCGAATTATATCAAGATTTCACTCCTACAATCACTTATTCGTTGAGACAATACCCCGTGGGAAGGTCTGATTTGAGGATGAAGAATTAGCGGATCCACTTGCTTTCTTCCTTCCCGCCCTTAGTCCAATGGAACCCCTTTTTTTAGGAAGCGTTGCAACAAACGAGGTATTTCTCAATTGACATGAGACCTGGGACCTAATTCTAATAAGTATCTTTCTTATTGGATTGGAAATTTCAATTGAAATAAGAAAAAGTAATCAATTTCCAAAAAAGGAAATTTTAAAATTAATAAAAAAATCAAGTCAATCAAAAAGAAAAGGGGCGAAGTGATACAAAAAGAACTCTGTTCGATTTTTTTAGTCCTATCTATAAGGGGAGATCATATGAAAAATGTAACCGATTCTTTCGTTTCCTTGGGTCACTGGCCGTCCGCCGGGAGTTTCGGGTTTAATA